TTCATCTTTTTTAGATTTAAAGTTTTTTCGAAAAAAATTATAATAGATTACAATTAATTTAATTTTTATTAGTGTTAATTATTAATATTGTTAAATAATATTTTTAATTTCAAATAATTTAGATTATATTTTCGATTTTAAATAATAATTTAAATTATATTTTCGATATTAAATAATAATTTGAATTATATTTTCGATTCTAAATAATAATTTGAATTATATTTTCGATTTTAAATAATAATTTGAATTATATTTTCGATTTTAAATTATAGTTTGAATTATATTTTCGAATCTAAATAATAATTGGAATTATATTTTTGATTTCAAATAATAATTTGAATTACCTATGTTTTCGATTTTAAATAATAATAAATAATAATTTTAATTGTATTTTCAATAATTTAAATAATGATTTTAATATGAATTAAAGTAATTTAAATTGCAAATGTAAGTTTTCGTAAAATTATAATTAGATTCATTTTATTAAAAATACTTTAGTTCCTCGTGCATAATTGCACAATCAGTATTAATAGGTTTCTAATAATTATTGTGTATCGAAGTTTATATAAAAAGAATATGTTTTATATTAAAAAGTACATTTTAGAGAATCGAATAAGAATTTCACGTTTCTAGGAAGAATAGTTTGTTTTTAATTAAAAATAATTGTTTTATGCTCGACATTTATGGAAGTTACTTAGTTTAGCCGAGAGAAGAAAGAAAAAAATTGTTTGATTAAAGAGATGTAATTGCTAATGTAATAAAAATTAACTTATTTTAGCGAGGCTTCTATATTTCTCTGTCCCCTTAATGCCTCATCCTTTTTAACGAAAAATTATTATTCTCGAATAAATTGAAACAAAAGTGTTCTTTTGTTTGATTCGTATTTTTTTTATATTATCAGGAATTAATTTCTTAATAACATTATGGTTATTAATTGAAATTAATTTAGTTTGGAATATTTATGAAATTTATATTTTTTGTAAAAGAAATTACAAATTTGGTATTTTTCATAAAAATTGTTTTTAGAGAGGAATTTGAGATTTTTTTTTTAATTTTACAAATAGAGACTAGTTTGATGCAATTCTTTCTTGAATATTTAATCTTTTTTGGTGTTCTGAAAATTTCTTTCTACAATTTTCTAATGATCAAATCAGTCTTAAATTATTGGACTAATCGGGATTTTCAGGGCCTTCGAATGTGATTGATGACATCATGAACTTACAATGATTGATCAAAAAATTGTGGATGATCTGGGATCGATATTAAAAGTGAATACTTTGTGGCAATGGCATGGATTTTGTCTACAATAACAATGGTGTTAACGACATCAACATTCTATATGTAATTTTTGTATTTTTCGAAAATAAAGTTCATCTCTTCCGAACAATTCTATTTATTTGTAGTGAAAATTTATTTGTAATAAACAATTATTTACTATTTTTATCTATTTGTTTCTTTATTTATTTCTTTATTGTCTGTTTAATGATTAGTATTTAATTTTTATCCATTAAGTATAAATTTATGGTCGGAGAGATTAATTTTTTTGCATATTTTGCAATACTTTCTCAAAAAATATCCCCATTAATAATTTTAATAATTTTTTGAATGAAATTAAAACCTCCTTTAAATATTTGCATATTATTTTTATTATTCTGATACATTTTTTAGTTTCATTGTCAGACCTGGTGTTGGTCTTTTGAAATATACATTATATATCTAAAATATCCAATAGTTCAAGAACACATTTCGATGAAAATTTATTTTCAATACAATAAAACACAAAGAGATATTCTGCTACATCTTAAAATCTATAGGAAAATTATTTTTTTTTTTAAACATGTGTAATGATTAACCGATGCTTTCGAAGTCTTAGATTTTAATTTTTTTTTGAAACAATCGACGTGTTTCGAACAATATAAATCGTTTATTTACAGACGCGTGTTTAATTATATATTTTTTTAAAATTAAACTTTAACTAGCAATTAAATTTAAGAACCTATTGTTGGTCTTTCTCGTAAAATTATTTAATATTCACTAAAATAAACAGAAAACAAATACAGTAGTACCTTTCAATTTTTAGTAATAATTGTAGCAGTAAAATGAAATAGTAACTTGGAGTACAATTCGATGAAAGGTTCTACTGTACGAGTTTAAAAATTTAAATTACTCTCTTTATTATTCATCACTCGTTGATTGTGTATGCCATATGAATTATGCATTGTTTTCTTTTATTAATGAAAACTATTTACAAAATAAATATATTCTTGTTATTTACAATTCAAGATATTGACAATTTAAATTTTGTGAAATTAAATTCAAAGAGTCAAAGTAAGCTTATATCATTGGGCTCAGATATTGTTAGAAGCCTACTTTGAATCTTTTTTTAAATTATAAAATTGTGATCAAAATTAAAAATTTTTGAACAAAATTATAAAAATAACACAAATTACAAATTTTTTAACTAAATTATAATTAAATTTTTAACAAAATTACAAATAATGATCAGAATATTGCCTGAATTTATAAATTGAGACTTTATTAACTAACAAAAGATTTTTCAATTCTTATTGATACAATTTTTTTTTACATGAAATGAAATTATTATTTTTCGATAATTTCGATATGTTAGTATTAATTCTTAAATTAATTTATGTCTAGAATTATAGTTTTGAGTAGGTTTCTTTAATTTTCTATTATACACTTCATGTGTGTTTTTCGTATGTACAATAAACTAATTTATTAAAAACATTTCGTTAGACATGTATTGAATTTCTTATAATTATTTATTAATTAGGCGGTTTTATCGTCGTTATTTATAACATTTTTTTTTTCTTTTCATCAGAAATTTCAATAAATACCTCCTTTTTTTATCACATATTTCTAAGTTTCGCAATTCCTACCAGCCTGCAGATTAGAGGATCGGAAATTGCTATTGAAGTATTTAAAAAAGTTCGATTTTTCTTGTCAGTTACAAAATAATGCATTTATACTTATAATAATTAGTTCACAATTTTTATGACGATATAAATTCATTGATACGCATTTTTTTTCTCTACAATTATTTCATTTTATTGAATTCTACTTTTTATTTTTTCTTATTTTTTTTGGAGAATTTGAAGTAATGTTTTTAATTGAAAATTATTTTCTAAAATTAAATCAGTGAAAATTTGACTTATTTTCAGTGACTATTCTCGTGATTTGAATCAGTGAAATTTCAATCAAAATCAGTGAAAAATTACTGTTGTTTCAGTAATTTTAAACTAATTTTCAGTTAAATTTCACTGATTCAAATCACGAGAGTAGTCACTGATTCAAATTTAAAGAGAAACTTAATTTATTTATTAATTTGAATTAAATAATTAATAACTAATTTGTTAATAAATTGTTTATACTGGATAATTAAAAATATTTTTTGGTTGAAGTCAGTTGATAAAAATATTGAAAATTTGAGTGCAGGCCATGTTTCTAAAAATAAAAACTATATTGGGATATTGTTTTAAAAAATTCTGTCTAAACTTTATTTATGATTTTTTAAATGCACGGTGAACTTTTTTATTTACAACAAATTTAAAGTACTTGATGTATTTTCTATATTTTTATATATAAACGCTGTCTTTCAATTATTTTTTTATTTACAAAATTCATTATCTAATGATTCCGTAATCTTAAACGGTTGCTTCTCTTTTAAAATGCTTAAATACAATTTCATTTTTAATTACAATAAATACAATATTCAATTATATACAAAATAATTTATTTTTTATAGAGCTCTCATAACGCACACGTAAATTTTTTTTTTTCTTTATTTTAATGATTTTAGTGCATTAATTTATAATAATTTATGATAATTTCATCACAGAGATAAGTAGAATTTCGATTATACAGAGTTATAAAAAATGTGCATTTAAAAAATACTGATTCAAAATTTAAAAAGATTTAAATCTAAACAGAGATTATTTATAAAATAAATAAAAGAAGCCGTTAGGAAGTTTGCAAAATTGCCAATGTCTCTTGTTTCTTTTTACTAAATATATTTTATCAGAAATTATTATTAATACCTAATATTGTATATTAATAATAATCTCTAATAATAAATGTTTTTTTTATTATTTTATACAAATATTAAATTAAAATTAATTATATTTATGAGTTTGTTTATGAGTTACCCTGTATAATTGATTTCTTTAATTGTTTGAAACTTTTGTTAAAAAAATGGAACTGATTATTAATTATTCTCAATCATGTAAATTTATAATGAGTATAAATATTACTGGAAAGGATAAAATTAGTTAATAACTATTTACGTTGAGTGAAAACAAATTTTGAAAAAGTAATTATTGATATGTTTGCTTCAAATTTACAAAAGTATGATTAAACGTAAATTTAATCATATTAGTGATTAATTAATTTTATTCAAAGCAAACTGCCATGAAATTAGAGAAAGGATTTCATAAAATTAAAATGCTATTTTTATTTCAAAAAAATATTTTTGAAAACTAAATTTGTATACATAACTTTTATAAACTTTTATTAAATCTCATTATAACTACTTTAACATTTCACAATAGTCTTCCTCTGCATATTTTTTTCTGTTTTAAATAGTTTTCAAAAATATTTTTTGAAAGTTTGAAAAATATTTGTGGATAATGTTTCCCAAGGAAAAAAATTTAGTTCAACTTGTGTTAAAAATTAAAAATAATTAATACTTTGCAAAAAAATATTTTCCATTTTTGTATTTTTTTGTATTATTAGTTTAATTAATAATTAACTTTCATTTTTTATTAACAGAAAAAATGTTATCTTTTTTTGTGTAACACTTTATAGCGATATATAGGAATAAATTTTATTCAGTACGTATTTTTCTTTTTCAATATTTTTTTGTGTATAGCTTATATATGTATTTATATGTATTTCGAAAATTCTGAAAAATGCTTATTGTAAATTTAAAATTATGATTTTTTGTAATTTTTCAAAAGGAAACGATTTAAATTTGCATTTTTTAAAAAGAAATAGATTGAAATGAATATTTTAGAAGAAACAAATTGAACTTGCACATTTTTAGAAGAAAAAAATTATAAACTTGCATTTTTTTTTAGAAGAAATAAATTAAAGTTGCACTTTTTAGAAGAAACAAATTAAAGTTACACTTTTAGATGAAACAAATAAAATTTGCAGTTTTCGAAAGAAACGATGAATAGTACGCACCTTAATTCTTAAATTCTACATAATATTATGTCGATTTGAATATTTCTATACGATCACTGGTTCCTTAGATATTGGCGTTAGATTTGCTTCTATCAACGAGATATCTTCCGAAGCGTATTCCTGCTATAAAGAAACGTCATTTTGGCTTACAGGTCCATTTCCTATCCTTGTATTCAATTCCTTTGTAGTTACGGAATTATCTTTAGAATTTTTATTCGCTTCCTTTGATATCACTGATGTTATTGAATTTGTATCACTCTCGTTGTGGTTTGCTAACGTTTGAGTTGAACGCGATATCAATGATGGCGGTGGTTTTCCATTCTTTTTATTTGTTGTTTCCATTTCGTAGTCTAAAACATTTGTAAGATTAGAATTTTTCAAAGTGAAAGTTTAGAGGTAAAATGTATTTCAGGTATTTTTATTTTCATATTTTTTTCACTTTATTTTTATATTTTTTCCATTTCATTTCATTTTTCATTATATTAAGTTGGTGAAGTTCACGACGTTTGTAGTCAACGATTGGATTGAAAAAATATTTTTCCTTTGAAATTTTTGTCTAACAACAAATAAACATCTTACGAAACGTTTACAATACTCATGTCTCTAAATTTGAATTAGTAAAAATGTTTATTAATTTAAATTATTGACTGAGTTTTTGCTTTTTAATTAGTAAATTTTACTAAGAAATTAGTAAAAATTACTATTTATTGGCAAAATGTACTAATTTGGAAGCAAAAAGTCAGTTATTAATTCAAATTCAAATTAATTAATATTTTTACTAATTTAAATTTAGAGAGTATTTTTTGATTAATAATTTAATAAAAAAAATTTTGGTAAACAAAAAATATTATTTTTTGCGTAAAAAATATTTTTTCTTCCAATTGTTGATCTCATAAACATTGTGAATTTCATTGTAAAGTTTCGAAAGTTCAAATGAACAACGATATCTTTATTACTTCTTTTAATTTGAATTTTATTACAAAATATTGTTTTTTTTATAATTATAAAATTTATTTTTAACTAAATGTTCAATTACAATTTTTTTAAAGTTCAATCTGGTAGTTTTTAAAAATATTGAAATGCAAAAATTTATTTCGTTCATTTGAATGTTCAAAATTTTATTTGTTACCATGTTTTCGTATTAGGAGAATAATAGAAAAATATTAAAAACAAAATTTAATGGATTAAATTATAAATATAAAAATTAAAAGGTAAATTTCATTCAGTTTTGTTTTTAACTTATTGTTTTTAATTTTATTAAACAAAAGCGATGAGGTTTTGTTATAATTTGAAATCTTACTTTCACTTTGAGTGGAACAATCTGTGGTTGTAGTGACATGCCTTTTGACAGCTTTACTTTGATCACAGGTAACTGCTGTCAAAGTGACAGGTGCCATTAAATTTGATGCGTTAGTGAGTCCTGAACTTTTTGTTGTATTATGTCGATTTGGCATCATACTCTGTCTCACATTCCTCTCTGGTCGTATTAAAATAATATACAGCTGCAAAAAAATGTTTAGGGAAATAAATATTAAATATTAATTAATAAATAATAAGCAATAAATACTAAATAATAAAAAACAAACAATAAATACTAAATAAAATACTAAATAGAAAATATACTAAGAAATAAATAATAAACAAAAAATGCTAAATAATAAATAATATTGCTAGTTAAGAGTGGGAAAATTTTATTCATAGTTTTGAATGTAACAGTGACAAAGGGAGTAATTTAGCGTTTTCCTTCTCTTGATTAAAAAGTTTCTCTCTTGGTATTAAAATGTTTTAATGAAAAGAAAAATTTTCATGTAATGTCCATGAGTTTTGAGTAATTTCCTCTTTGAATATTCTTTTGAAACAGTATACATTAGAGAAAGTTTTATGAAATTCTGAGGAACTGACTAAAATGGAAACTTTATTCTTGCTGTGACCAAAAGATGTATTTGCACTTTTCTGAAAAACTTTTTGATTTGCCTTTGTCTATTTTCTATAACACCAGAAGAAAATGTTTTTTGAAAAAATAAAAATTAAAAAATTTGTTACATTTATTTACGAATTTCTTTAATTGCAAAATTATTCAAAAACATCAATAACTTCTTTTTTAAATAAATATTTAATTATTATTAATTTTACATAGGAATTAAGATTTTCAAAAATTTTAAATCTAAACCTTTTTAAAATTAAATAACTTTAAAACTATTGTTATAAAAAATGAATATATTGATTGCTCCGAGTCGAAGACTCGGAGTGAGCGATTTCTTCATTTTTTATAATAATTAAAGATGTTCGAGAGATAAAATAATTATTTTACATTATAAAATTATTGTTACTGTAACTTCTTCAAAATTATTTTCATATTCAATTTATTATTATCTAAAATTTTTACGAAAATTTTAACATTTTTAAATCAATTTTTATTAGAAAATTCTACGAGAATTTAATTACCGAATTTTTTAATAATTAAATTCTTTTGACGAATTTTAATAAAATTTTTAAGAAAAGTTAAATTTTTGAGGAATTTGATTAAAATTGTATTAAAAAGAATAGAAATTCTCCGCTGAAATTTAAATATTTTCAAAATCTACTATCTTTATACAATTTCTCAAAAGAATTCAATTATTTAAAAAAAAATGTAATAAAATTCATTGCAAGAATTGAATTATTTTTCAAAATTGAATTTTTTCGACGAATATTAATAAAATTTTTAATAATAATGACATTTTTTGAGGAATTCGATTAAAATTGTATTAAAAATAATTGAATCTGCAATGAGTTTTATTATTTAACAAAATAATTGAATTATTGCCAAGAAATTTATATAAAGTTTCAAACAATTGATTTTTTTTTCGAAAAAATTTATGCAAATTACATTTTTAATAATTGAATTCCTGCGAAATTTTTATTATTTATGAAAATAATTAAATGTTTGCGTACAATTTTATTAAATTTTTTTTAAGTAATTGATTTCTTTTGGGTAGTTTTATTAAAATAGTAGAAATATTTAAAATTATTGAAATGAGGAAATTTTTTGAAAATAATTGAAATTTTGACAAGAATTTTATTAAAAGTTTTGATAATAATTGAATTTTGAAGAAGAGTTTGAATATTTATAAAGATAATTGGGATTTTGACGAGATTTTTTAAAAATTTTGAACATAATAATAATAATTTAATAGTTTGTGAAGCAAACAAAAATCTAGAATTTTCTGGAATTTTCTTATGAATTCTAAAAATTTAATTTTTTTCGGTACTTTTAATAAAAATCCCTGACTTTTCCCTGAATTTCCTGTGTCGGAAGATATGATTATTATTATAAAGAATTACAAATTTTTACGTTCTATTATTTTTAACATTGCTAATTGTATTTAAAAAAGAGATTAAAAAGTTAGCCGCGCGCAAATTGTTGCTAGTTAATAATAAACCTTAATTCCCTTTAAACGAGAAAAAAAATTATTAAAAATCTATTTTTTGATTGTAAAATGCAAAGGGGAAAACATTTTCAGGGTGTAAAGATACTTTGAAGTATCCTGTTTCTTGGTTACCAAGTATAAACTAAAGTAAATTGCCTTATTTATATTCAGTTAGAAGTATAATTTGATAGCAATCAAGGGGGTCAATGATTGCTGGAGTTTAGCATCGAGCAAAACTTTCTTGGCCGTCAGGAAACTTCTTGCGGAAGACGAAAGTTTAAAGACTATTCCGGATGTAGAATGCGCCTTACCTTTGGACTGAAGAGGCAAGCTATAGTCACGGAAGCCGAAAGGCTGATTGTTATCGACATTGAAGTAATCCTTAGAGCCACGTGATTTCCGGTACCAAAATATAGAGGGACAAACGCTAGCCATATCACACATGTGGTATACATCGTAAAACCTATATTAAAAAGCAAATCTTTCATTTTGATTATCAAAAATTTCTCTTCTTTTCAAATCAAATTATTCATTTTTTTAAATCATATTTTCATTTTTTTTAATCGCATTTTTCATTTTCTTTCATAAAATCAAATTTTTCATTCGTGCACCATTGAAAATTAAATTTCAAACCAGTGTTTTTATGAAAAATAATATTTTTTCATCGTATTCTATATTTATGTCCTCATAGGAATTCATATAAATAAATGCGAGGAAAGTTGCGTATATTTATGAAAAGGAGAAACTATTCATACTTAATTAAATGAATTCGTTCATATAAATTCCACATATTAAATATTTCCAATTACAAATATTTAAATTAACGAAATCTGCGTTTGGGAATTGATGAAATTTTATATATGAAAAAGCAGAAATATGTGAAGTAGAAAAAATATTGTAGAGAGTAAAAAAAAAATTGTCGAATGGAACATATAGAAGGAATTTGATACATGAATTTATGTATTTACTCCGCTTATATCACATATGAAGCTCAAAGAATTTATTACTTGTATATAGTCTAGCTTCTAAACTTCATATATATATGTTGCGATATTGAAATGATTCAACAAACCAGTTTGAAAATAGACTAATAGAGGAATATATAAAATAGATATGAGAATAGTTTTATATTGTCGAAAGTATTTGTTTTGAAATGTTATTAATAGTTTGGACTTACCGATGTGTTTACTCTCGTTAAATGCCTCCGGTATTTTCCTGGTGAGAACAGCGTATACCGTACAAATAACAATAAGTATAATGGGATAGGTAAATGCAATCATGTAGCTCGCGTCAATGTAACTATTACAAACTAGTAAATTGTCTTCTCTCGTTGGATAATGATGCATTGCTTTTGCTGGATCAATAATCATCCAAACTCCATTAATAAGAATTTGCACACTTACAAGACCCGAGCATATTATTAATTGTGATTTTGGTGATATAAATGATGGTCGCTTTGCGCTGTGCTTATTCACATTGAATATTCTTGATATTCTGTTTGTTTTTGTTAGTAAAGCTGCGTACACGACAGTGAAGCAAAATCCAGCTGTAAATCTGATTAAAAAAAAGAAACTTTTTTATTTTTAGAGTTATTTATAGAGGTGCAATTTGATTTTAGTGTATTCTGCACTTTTTGTATTTTTATTTTAGTGACAAATCCAAATCCCTTCTAATTGAAGTTTTCTAGTTTTGGAAATTATTCATTTGATGATTTATATATTTTTTTTTATACAGAAAAAATTCTATTCGGTAGGAAGTTTTTTAGATTTCGTACACTTTAATATTTAGAATTTGGACATGTCACTAAAATCCAAAGGAACAAAAGATTTTCTTCAAATGTTTTACCGTTGGATTCCGCAAACAATGTTGGATGGTCGTAGGATTAGAGTGAAGGTTACTAGGTAGCATAATAAAATTCCTGACAAGAGAATGTAGGATAATTCTCTACCGGAAGCACGAACAACTGGCGTGTCGTTGAATTTGAGAAATACACCAACAACAAATAGTGTCATCTGTAAAGAAACGATTTTGGATTATTGATTAAAGTTGGATTTTAAATAATTCCATTAGCTTCGTACTAAAAATAATATCGAATGAATCAAATAAATATATTCTATTCGGATCGAATAAATTGTATATTGTGTTTGAAGAAATTATTTAAAACAATAATTATTTTATCTATTTGTATTATAAATCAGAATAATTATTATTTCCTTTCTTATTTGTACATAAAGAACAGGGTTGCAGAAAAAGAAAAAAAAAGAAAAAAACAGGGTCAGAGAAATCAGGGAAAATTAAATTGTTCTTGGAAATTAGGGAAATTTCAGGGAACTTTATTAAAAATATAAAATTTCTAAAATTACTAAATAATTCTGCTAATTGGTGTCTAAAAACAGTTTTGGCAAACACAGGGCTCGAACTAGTTCCGTAAATCCCGTAAAAGTCTGTAAATTTACTTAAAAAAGTCAGGTTTTTTTTAAAAAAAGGTCTATAAAATCCGTAATTTGATTTATTAAGAAAAGACGAAAAGTTCGTCAATTGTACGATATAATTTGGAGAATTTTAAAATTACAAATGATTGCAAAAAAATAAAAAATTATTAAAAATTATCAGAAATTCTCAAAACCGAATTTCTTATAATTCAACATTTTTTCTTCTCTTTTACTGCATTTAGCTTCATTATTTTCGGGCTCTTCAAAAATACTTTACTTATTCAATAGTCTCCACCCATTGGTAAAAAATCAAAAATTATTAAAAATTATCAAAAATTCGAAAAACAGAATTTCTTAAAATTCAACATTTTCTCTTCTCATTTATTGCATTTAACTTCATTATTTTTGGGCTCTTAAAAAATACTTTACTTACTTAATAGTCTCCACTCTTTGGTAAAAAATCTAAAATTATCAAAAAATCGAAAAATTCAAAAAAACGAATTTCTTAAAATTCTATTTTTTTTCTTCTATTTTATGGCATTTAGCTTCATTATTTTTGGGCTCTTAAAAAATACTTTACTTATTTAATAGTCTCCACTCTTTGGTAAAAAATCTAAAATTATCAAAAAATTCAAAAAACCGAATTTCTTAAAATTGAACTTTTTTTCGTCTTTTTTATGGCATTTAGCTTCTTTATTTTTGTGCTCTTAAAAATACTTTACTTATTTAATAGTCTCCACCCTTTGGTTAAAAATCGAAAATTTTTGAAAATTATCAGTAATTGGTCCGTAATTTTTCATTTTTGGTGCGAAAAGTCCGTATTTAAAAATACTGGTTTTAAAATACTCATTGGTTCAAGTTCTGCAAACACCAAAATTCAAAATTATTACATTTTAAGGAACATCATCTTAGAATTGCTATAACTTTTTATGCAATTGTCCGAAGCGGCTGATTGCTTCTAGTATAATTTCAATTTATAATTTCCTAAAAAACATTTTTGTTTTATTTTATTATTTTAAAATTGAATTCCTCTTGAATTTTTTCTTTTATTGGGATTAGGAAAAATGGAAAATTTCTGTCTGTAAATCGAGGACAGGTTTAGGGAAGAACACAGTTCTTTTTGTAGCAATCTTGTGAAATCATTTGAATCAATTCGTGAGTCGTAAAAAAATATATCATTGTTTTGTTGTGCTATTGTGAAAATCATAATTATTTTAGCATTTTTTTTTATGCTTACCAATATTCCTGTAGTAGAGAATGACATGGCGCCAATGGCCCAAGCACTTTCGGGTCTTAAAAATTCTTCCGGTATGTCACGACAATAGGAATGAGTTTCATCAGGAACTGTGCCTTGAGGGCACATAACGCATTGTGTTTCATCTACTGGATCTCGTATCTATAGAAAAATATTTTCCCTGTAACCTTAGAATTTTTTAATACTAAAATGAATGGTTTGAATACTCCACTATTCATTTTTATACTCATTTTGACTTTAGTTACTGATTTTCAACCTTTTTGGATCATCTTTAATATCAGTTTCATTGTCTAACGTTATTATTTGAAGGGAACTTTTTTTATTTACTTGCAAGGGGAGATTACTAGCATTAATTACTAGAATTAATTAATTCACGGAGAAAAGGGTTCATTTCTTTTTTTGACAATTTTTCATCTATTGAACATTTTTTCATTGTGAATTCGAATTGACAAATTTTTTATTGTCAATGGAGAAATAAAGTTTCTTCTTTTTCTCGAAAATAAAATTACATTTTACATTGCTACAGAGATGATCATAGATTAAACAATGGAGAACAAAGGATTAACGATATTCTCCAATATATATAATACATATATATATGTATACATGAAATTCTCGGACTTATCTCTAGAGGACAGGAAGCTTACCAATTTATCAGTTTACAAAGGATCTGACCTGATATTGGGTACAATTGAAACAATGCCAGCAGCATCTTTCTCCCTCAACGTATTTCTTTGCCTGTCCATCTTCACAGGGTAATGAACATACACTTTCTGGTGGTTGAGGATGTCCAAGTTTAAATTGCACCTCTATAAGTTTAGAGAATTGGATTTGTTAAATTTCACATAATGTTATATACAATGCTTTAGACAATATAACAATGGCAAGTCGTAGAATTGAAATTGGTTTAGGCATCGATTTGCCTCTGTCTCATGATTTTGAGAACTATACTATAACCTACTTCAATTTCAAAGTTTGATTGCTTTTAAGGGGAGATAAGTTTGTATTATAATGTAAATATAAAATGTACGGCATTTGTCTCGTTATTTTTCGATTATATTTGTGAAAATTTATTGGATGAAAATTGTAAAGGAGGTATTAATTCTAAATTAATGAATTGATTCTAAATTTAATCCTAAATTTAAAAACAATGAAAAAATTGTGAGGAAAGAAATTGAATTTGTTAATTAGGTGTAAAGTATCCGAAAGTTTGGAAGTTTAAAATCGAAGAGCGAGTAATTAGAGGTGTAAATAAATACTGCATAATGATCTAAATTTTTCGTGCCGTTAAACATTCTCTTGAAGTTAAAGTTGATTAAGTTAATATTATTAAAGTCTATTTATTCTCCCCAATGAACTGTGTACATAAATTTACTAGAGTCGTTAATTATGAAAAAGGGTATTATTTATTTTTTTATGAAACTATTTTTCCAATTAGGATATTATTCATGATTTTTTAGCTTTTTTGAAGCATTTTTAAAGTGTTTGAAATTGTTTTAAACTGTTTTGTTATAGTTAAAATTAAGATAATAATTATTAAACGTACCGGACATGTTGAGCAACAATTTGCCATCGAGATATTTTCCAACCCTAATCCAATTGTACACTCCTGGAGAAATTTGTTTAAAATGTATTATATTGTATCTTGCTGGTCCATCCCCATTTGAATCAAATTTAAATTCATCTCCACTTAAACCTTAAAATTTATAAAATGATTTATAAAATGTAAAAATGTTAAATTTATTAATAAATGTAACTAAATCTGAATTAATTAAAAATAACGAATCATTAGTAAAATTTTGTCCAACTTTTTGTTTTATTAATTTGTAAAAAATAAGTAATTAGGTATTACGCTGAGAGAAAAATATATTTGATTCAAATAACCGATAAATTGACTAATATCAATGAAATATTTACTTGAATCAAATAATATTTATTTGAGACAATTAAATGATATTTGAACCAACAATTTCAGTATTTAAAGCAAATGACATTTAATTGACTGCAATAAATATTATTTCATTCAATTAAATATTTAATTGATAACAGTCAATTAATCGGTTATCTGAATCAAATAAATTTTTTTTACTGTAGTAGAAAATAAAATAGTAAAATTTGACTAATTGAATTAGTTATCAAAAATGGTCTAAATTTGAATTAGTGACAGACATTTTAGTATTAAATTAGTTGTTTTTAACTAATTCAAAATTCATGGTTCTATTAAATTAATTAGAGTGAATTCTGCTTTCTAAATTTAAATTAGTTAAGAATAGTTAATTTGATAGTAAGAAATTAGTCACTGATTCAAATATAGTAATATTTTACTGATCCCATAGTTAATAATGACTAAATATTGGTTTTTACTTTTAGACTATGTCAAAATAACTAAAAATTTTGGTAACTAATTCAATTGGTAAAATTTTTCTATTTTCGTAGTTATTTATTTACTAGTAATTAGTTATTTTCTACTTCTGATTAGTTACTTTTTACTAATTTCTGATTTAAAAAGTCAGACAACATTTTGTTAACATTTAGTTATTTTTAACTAATTCAGATTTATAAAGTAAGAAAAATAAAAAAAATTATATTTTATTAAAATAATTGAAATTCAAATTGAAAATTATATAAAATCAATTTATCATTATACGTAAATAAATAATTTTCCTATGAATAATTCATTTGCAAATAATTCGCTTTATTTATTTACATGTTAAATTGATATTAACCTTCAAATTCTACATTTCTTAAATATTGTAGGAGCTCGGTGCCTTTTGTGGGTCTCATAGCATCGCAAAGTCCTTTCTTGCCATGACAAAGTTTCTTGTGCATATTTCTGTAAATAAATATTTAATTTAGAAATATTTTGTTTTTTTTATTTATAAATTTGTATAACATATATTGTAGGTATACATTTCACAGAAAGTGGAATTAAATTATTCAGTCAGTAAAATTTACACTACATTGAATTTAATTTATTAAAAAGATAATGGCACAATGATATATGCATAATTTATTTCAATACTCCAACATAAAATGTTTTCAATGGAATTTTGGAAGCATCGAGATTTTTTCTTTTGTTTATTATTATTTTAATAGTATGTGTGATTATTGATATTTTTCTGCAATATTTTACAAATTTATTTTATTCTCTACATTCGAATCAGTCGTTTTCTAGTTGTTAAACTCTCTAAATTTGAATTAGTAAAAGTGTTCACTAAAATTTATTAGTGACTGAGTTTTTGCTTTTGAATTAGTAAATTTTACTATTAAATTAGTAGTAATTACTATTTATTAGTAAAATTTACTGATTCAAAAGCAAAAATTGAGTCACTACTTAAAATTAGTAAATATTTTTACTAATTTAATTTTAGAGAGAAGAGCGTGGTTTCATTTATGAATTAAATTCGTAAGCGTGGTTTACTAATTTACTAATTTTAATCTACCAATTTTAACTAGAAAAACACTAATTTTTAGTTAGAAACGATTAATTTTTTAGTAAAATACCTATTAATTGAAATAGAAAAGTTTTAATTTTTCAATTAATAGACATTTTATATTTTAGATTAAAAGTAATAAACAGCAATTAATAGTAATAGTAGTATCAACAGTAGTTTTCTACTAAAAATTAGTAAAATCCTTACAGTTTAATTGATAAACGAATTCCGTATTCTTTATTTACTCGAAAATTACTAATTCAGACTTAGAGACCAAATATATATTTTCTAAGTATTCCATTAAAATTTTTGCAATATTCTAAAAGGATAAAATTATTAAAGGGTTTATTTTGAAATTTTTTGAATTGAAATTACCGAAAGGCATAGGCGAAAGCCATAACTGCATCAGAAACAAATTGAAGCTGATCTTCAAATGCTGTATTTTGCTTTGTAAGCCGTTCTTGCGTTGTACATGGTTCAGTATATTTTTCATTGTACGGTGTTAGAGATGCATTTGGATAACGGCATTGAAAATGATCTTCCCAGAATTCTAAATAAAAATATTCTTTTTATATTAAATTCACAATAATAATAGTAATAATAATATTATATGTTTGTTTTAAAAAAATGAAAATATGTCTAATATGTCAATGGGAAAGTGAAATTCTTAAATGTAAATTTTATTCAGTAGACATGAAATTCTCTTGATATTCTCAAAAACCCTTGAAAGATGACAAAAATAAGAAAAAAGTTTTGGCTTCACTTCCTATTTTATTTCTACCTCTGAATTCGAATATATTTTTCTTGAGAAAAAAAATATTATATATATAGAATTATTAATCCCAGAAAAGTTTGGTACTCAATTTTACAGAAATATATTATATAAAATTTTATAGAAACGTCAAAGAGATGAATGGAATAAAGTGAAAACGGTGTACCCTATAATGGAAATGGCAAATATTCTGACTTTAAAAGTTGAACGTAACTTTTAATCTTTTTAACTTTATAATCAAACTCTAATTGCTTTTTTTCAATGTAGCGACTTAATTTTCCTTTGTTGGCTCAACATTTTTAGAAAATTAACATTTCAAGTAAAGTCAAAAATTTTTAAAAATACTTTTACCTCTTGTAATTAGTTTAATGAGTAGTTTCATATCTTAATTCTAATTTAATTAACGGTGTACATTATTTTAGTGTGGCAGTGAGATTTAATTAATAATTGTATTAGTACAATATTAGTATAATTAATTAGTATATTTGTATAATAAGTATAATTCTAATATTAATACTATTAGTACTAATATTAATTGTATAAATATTAATGTTACAATTAATGAAAATGTAATAATAATATTATTATTATTATTATTATAGTGTAATAATAATAATATAAATATAGAAAATTAATTAAAATTGTTATATTAATTTTATTAATACGACCAGTATGGGGCCGTCCAAATTTCCGAAAAATAGCGTTACGTATTTTTTGAACGGCCCCTATCACATAATATTAATAATTATTATAATTATAATATATTTATTATTACTATAATTAATTATTTATTTTTTTTTTAAGTAATAAAGAGCTATAATAAAGTTTCAACTTTATTAGCTGAATTTAAAATCACTTGTGAAAATTTTTTTACGATCGCATTAATCACTTCATCTCACGATCATTAATAATTTTATGCTAACTCGTTAATTATGTAGCGCTAATTATTTGTTTGACATGTCGGATAAAAAGAAGTACACGATAAAATAGTCGTTTAAAATTTTCATTTGAAAATCTTATACAATAGAAATAAATAAATATCGAAGCGTTATTATTTTTCTGTATATATCGGCGCAAATAATTCAATTTTAATGAAATGAGAGGAGTATGAAAAAAATTGAATAATTGTCGGTGAAGAAAATAAAAGGTTATAAAAGTATATAAATAAAGAACAGTAGTGAATAACGCGACGTAAATTTTTATATATCTGATCGCAAAAGTGACAGTTGTTCAGCTCTCTAATGACTGTGGGGTTATCGAAATGGCAAAATGTATTATTATCAAATATCACTTGTCTGGCTATAATCCAAAAATGTATAATAAACGTGATAAATGAAAATGCATATTTTGCGGTTATCTGTAGACGAATTGATACATGTGTGTGTGAGAGTGGTTATATATATATATATATATATATATATATATATATACAGTTTCGTTACGTTTACATGTATGTGAGAGTATTGGTGGAACAAGCGCGTAATTCAGTTTGGTTGTGTGTATAATGGGATACAAGATTACAAACGATTTATAGGTAACCCTTCCACTCATTATAGGAACATCCTGTTAAACGTGATGCGTATAAATCGAACAGGCAGTACGACCAGGTCCCTGTGGTTTCAGTCCTCTGTTCGGTCGAAGCCCATTCATTCTAGTGATCTATTAAGATTGAAGAGGCTTTCACCAAATTTCACACCGTACTTTAATTTTTGCCAAAAACTATAGAACGCGATTTTTCTTTTATATATTTTGATATACATTTTAAATGCATTTTGATATTCCAGGGTTGCCACAAGTCAGGAAATTCAGGGAAATTAGAATAATTGGTCAGGGAAATCAGGGATTTTTCTTAAAAGTACTGGCAAAAATTAAATTTCCAGAATGTATAAGAACATTCTGAATTTTGGTATTTTTTGTTTAATAAAATTCTTGTTAAAATTTCAAAAATTTTCCTCATTTCAATTATTTTTAATATCTATTATTTTAATAAAATTTTACAAAATAATTCTATTATTTCAACAAAATTTTAATTAAAATTTCACAGAAATTCAAATACATACAAATTTTTCTATACAATTCAATTATTTTCACAAACAATACATTTTTTTGTGGGAATTCAATTATTTAAAAAAATTTGAATAAAATTCTTTGCAAGAAATCAATTATTTTCATAAATAATAAAATTTTTCTTGAGAATTCAATTATTTAGAAAAATTTTGATAAAATACTTTATAAATTTAAAAAATAATAATAAAATTGGTCGTAGAGTAACATTATTTTCGTAAAATATAACATTCTTCCTAGGAATACAATTATTGTCTTAAATGTTTGTTTCGAAAGAATTCAATTATTTTCGTAAAAAATAAAATTCTTCAAAGTAATTCAATTATTATTTAAGAAATTTTAATAAAATTCTTCCCAAGAATTCAATTATTTAAAAAAAGAATTTTTTTAATTCTTTGTCAAATTTCAATTATTTTCAATTTTTTAATGAAATTTCTCGATGGAATTTAATTATTTTTAAAAAGTTTTAAAAAATTCTGAGAAATTCAATTATTTAAAAAAATTGAAATAAAATTCTTCACAAGAAAATAATTATCTTCATGAATAATAATATTTTTTTCCGAAATTCAATTATTTTTTTAAATAATAACAAAACTTGTCGCAGAATTTTAAATATTTTTTATACAATTTTAAATATAATGATAGAAAATTGCATTTATTCTTAAAGTTTTTTTTAAAATTCACCGAAAGAAATCAATTATTTTAAAAAATTTTGATGAACTGCTTTATAATTTTGAAAAATTATAATAAAATTGGTCGTAGAATAAGATTATTTTTGTAAAGTATAACATTCTTCATAGAAATAAAATCATTGTCAAAAATGTTTGTAAGAATCTTCGAAAGAATTCAATTATTTTCGTAAAAATTAAAATTCTTCAAAGCAATTCATTTTCTAATAAAAATTTATTAAAAAAATTAATTTCAGGTAAGATTGTAGATAATAATTGAATATTAGAAGAGTTATTGTTTGAATTTTTAGAAATAATTGAATTTTGAAAAGGGTTCAAATTAAAATGTTTGAAAATTTGAATTTATAGCTACAATATTCTTATGATATAAAATAATGATTTTATCACTCTATCATCTTAAATTTATTATAAAACATGAGGAAACCGATTACTCCGAGTCGAAGACTCGGAGTGGTCGATTTCTTCAAGTTTTATAATAATATTCTCATAAGTTATTGAATTTGAGAATCTTAATTCCTATAGAAAAATAATAATGATTCAATATTTATTTAAAAAAGAAGTTATTGATGTTTTTCAGTATCAGGGAAAAAGTGAACATTTTGTCTGGAAATCATCAGGGAAAAACAAAATTACAGTTTTGTGGGAACCCTGTATCCGTTTTCGTTATTTTTCTACACTACAATTATTACAATTTTACAATTAGTATTTAGTAATTTTAGAGTTTCTATTATTGGTGTTACTATTCATTTAAGATTTAAATTTCCAAGAATTATTTATTCGTTTGAATATTTAATTTTGAGTTTTATTTATGTTCTTCGAAGGAGAAATGTTCGTCATCTTTAAAGGAGTTGGAAATGTTTGTGGTATAAATTGTTTGCTGTTTAAAATAAATAATTATAATTGTGTTATAAAAATAGTTTATGGATTTTTGTGTGTGAATGTATAAAATATAACATTTTTCTTGACTTACCAACAAACCATGGATTTCTCTTGTTGTTTTCAACAGTCAAGTTTAGAAAGTATTCTTCAAAACCTTGAACGGGGTTTGCTTGGGGCTGTACTGATAGTGTACCTTCAACTTCGGCTTCATTTCCATTGCTTACGAGCCCTCGAGCGCTCCACCCGTCACTCCCAATCCAAGAAAATGCTCCAGTGGCATTACAACGTCTCACTGCTCTCATTACCCCAGCAACTTCTTGGTCTGAGCCAAAAATTATACAACCTAAAAATATTATCATTTCCATTAGTTGAGACTTTACTTTTACCTCTCTTGTATTTTATTATTCAGTTGCTTGAATAATTAGCAAACATGTGGTATTGTGTATTTTCGTTTCTGTATTTTAGTTTCGTATCTAGTCAAAATTATGTTCGCATGATTCTACATTGTTTAGAGAATGTTGGTTAATATACGAGTTTTAATTTTCATGAGAGCTCAAAATCAACATTCATCAACTTTCGTTTATGTATTATTGTACTGGTCATTATTATTCCTCGAGTATTTTCACTAAAACTTTGGAATTAATATTTATACAAATAATATTCGAGTGGAGAGTGCATTGATGAAAGATTTAAATCATTTCAATGGAAGTTTTGGACAATGAGAAAGAAATCGTGAATTTTCGTTTTCGACAAGTTCGACTATTTTTGAAACTTTATTGTAGAATATTCTTTAAATATATTTGGAGGTATTTGAAAAGAATTTCATCTTAAGATTTCTCGATTTTATATTTATTTCGTTTTCATCTTTTTTTTATTAAAAGATAACGTATAGTTTGTTGGAAAAAAAAATGAAGAAGAGTTTGAATTTGTCAAGTTTCACCCGCAATTCTTTTTTTTTGTATCTTAACATATAACTCAAGGATTCCTCTTTTTCCCGTTTTCGAGTTTTAAAGTATGCCGTAATACTCACTGAAAAAGTGAACTTTGAAAAAATTGCCAAAGTTTTCCTACTTGGCGAAGACAGGTGGATCAAAGCGACAAGATAAATGCCTTCTTCTTCGATGATAAGTCGAGAAGAAAAATGAATCACATAGTTAAGATGAAAAATTATTTTACCCTAAGATTTCATAATGATGAATGAAAATTCATTATTATTGAAACATATTTCCAATTACTATTTTACATTAAAATTGATTCAAGGTTCTTCGCAGGGATTTATGTATTATGGAATTTATGAAAGCTTTCAAAAACTTACCTCTTGCTCGTGGTTTAGTTAATAATTTTTGTACAATGTTGTCATAAGCTGTTTCCTCTGCTACTCCTGAATCTTTCACTAGTTTTTCTTTAACAGCAATGCAAATTTGATATTTCGCCAACAGATCTTCTAGTTCCTCGAAAGCCTTTAAAGGAAACAAAGTAGAACATTAAGAGGGATGTGTGTACAGAGGAATATTAAATTTTTCTTTTTTTTTTTTTTTGAAAAACAAAAATAAAAAAGGCTTTTCCCATTAGGAGGTATTGTTCTTTAAACACATGCGTACTGAATCATGTATAATGTAAGAGGAAGTGTATATACATTCAACTTTATCTTTGTTATGATTTATTTATCAGCGAAATTTTCAGCGTTTTTTTCTAAATAATGCAACAAAAAAAAGGGGAAACTGTTATAGGTATGCATAATTCAAAATTTTTTATTTTTATTTCATTTGGCAAACAGAATATTTTCCTTTCTGTTGGTGCTTTTTGTTTTTAAAATAGTTGACGAAATAGAATTTTCTACTTTGTTTAAATCCTCTGGATAGAGATGGAAATGAAGACTACTAGAGTATTCTTTTTGACAATGGAATTTAAAGAAAATAATTCAATATTTTTTTTTTTTTAATTAATTATTATTTTCTTCTAAGAAAACAATGTGTTAGCAAAAATAATTTTTCAATTACTTTTCGACTTAAATTTTAAATAGCAGAAATCTTTTTTTGTAAACAATATTGTTCACAAAATCATTCTTCTCTTTGGGAAAAAAAATCATAACATATTCTCGTTTCTTAATATTTTTGTAGGAAATTCTCAATTTTCATAAGGAAATAATTTGCATCATTTATATTTCTTAATTAAAATTGCTGTAATAAAATTAAAAGTTTTTTAAAAATAAATGAAAAAAAATTTTTTGTAAATTCTATTTGTCAATTAGAAATTTTAATTAAGAATGAAATTAAAACTTTTAAAATTCTTAGAAAATAAAGGAAAAAATTTTTATCAAAAAAATGTTCTGTTACATTTATTTACAAATTTCTTTCAAATTTTTCGAAAACATCAATAACTTTCTTTTTTAAATAAATATTTAATTATAATTATTTTTCTATAGGAATTAAGATTTTTAAAATATGCAAATTCAAACCTTTTTGAAATTAAACAACTTATAAAAAATTGTTATAAAACATGAAGAAATCGATCACTCCGAGTCTTCGACTCGGAGCAATCGATGTCTTCATGTTTTATAATAATGAAAGATGGCCGAGTGATAAAATCATTATTTTATATTATAAGACTTTATAAAACAAATTTTTTAAATTATTTTTTATGAAAATGATTGAATTCGTTAAAAAAATTTTATTTATTTATGAAAATAATTGAATTCCTGTGAAAATTTCATTATTTATGAAAATAATTACATGCTTGCGTACAATTTTATTAAAATTTTTGCAAATAATTGAATTTCAGAGAAGAATTATATTATTTATAAAGATAATTGAAATTTTCAACAGATTTTTAAAAAAATTTTAAAAGTAATTGAATTTTGCAGAAGAATTTCGATATTTATAAAGATAAATCACCACGATTATTATAGTTAATTGAAATTTTGAGGAGAATTAAAAAAAATTTTTTGAAAATAATTGAATTTCTGCGAAGAATTTTCTTACTTTTGAAGATAATTGAATTTTGCAAAGAATTTTATCAGAACTTTTGAAAATAATTAAATTTATAGGATGAATTTTATTATTTATGACGATAATTAAAATTTTGACGAGAAATTTAAAACAATTTTTGAAAATAATTGAATTTCTAGGATGAATTTTATTAGGTATATATAATAAGATAATTGAAATTTTGACAAGAATATTATTAAAATTTTTAAAAATCATTGAATTTTGCAGAAGAATTTTGATATTTTGATGAGAATTTAAAAAAAAAATTTTGGAAATTTTATCAGAACTTTTGAAAATACTTAAATTTACAGGATGAATTTTATTATTTATGACGATAATTAAAATTTTGACGAGAAATTTAAAACAATTTTTGAAAATAATTGAATTTCTGCGAAGAATTTTATTAAAATTTTTTAAAATAATTGAATTTCGGTGAAGAATTTTATTATTTTTAAATATAATTGACATTTTAAAGAGAATTTTTTAAAAAATGTTAAAAACATCTAATTAGAATTTTATTAAAATTGTATTCTTGATTGTTTGAAATTGAAGTATGTGTTGTCGAGAAATGTGATTTTTTTTACAATTTTTACAATTTCGGGTGTCTTTTTTGTCGTTTTTTCTAAAATTTCATGCGACTTTTTCGGAAATTTTATGCGATTTTTCATGACTTCTGTTGTGAATTTATGCGACTAAAGCTACTTTTTTTGAGTCTTAAAGACGATTCGAGCCCTGTATTTATAATTTATTTATTTACTACGTGACTAAAAATTATTGTAATAAAATTTTAATTGGAAGAAGAAATAAATTTTGTTCGTTTGTTTAAATCTCCAGAACTTTATGAACATAGAAAAAATTTTTGTCCATTGAAATTAAAAAATTAAAATACCATTGAGTTCTTTTTAATTTAATGAGATTTTAATCTTTTTAATTAATTAATTATTTAATTTTTAATTAATTTTTGGGTAAAAATTTAATTGTGATGATAAAAATTGCTTACTGAAAATCCTAATAATTAATATAAATATTGTTTGCTCGCTTATTAGTAAAATTAATGAGTTGTTTGCTACCTTAATTCCGTAGTTGCTCTCTTCGTAAATAATAGATACATAACTCCAATTCATTTTTCTCACGATATCCACCATGGCTTTCACTTGATAATGATCACTTGGTATTGTCCTTGTAAAATATTCAAAACGCTGTTTATTTGATAGTTCAGGACTGGTTGAGAAAAAGGACACCTGAAACATACATGAAAGAAAAAAAGTGTTAAAAAAAGGAAAAAAAAATAAATTTGAAATGTCTCAAAAGTTTTATACTTGAGATTTCTTTACTTTGGCAGGAAACCGTTGGCAATGTGCCTTGATTCCCTCGTGAGATCGCATATAAAGAAATACTTTTCAGAATACTAAGAGTGCAAAAGGAAGGGTTTTTTTTGTAACATCACGTGCCAAAGTTTAAAATTAGATTTTCTATTTATTTTTATTTAATTTTTGTTTTTACTCAAGCATTAGAGAATTTTGAAAAGCTTGCGAATTTTACAGTTCATTAATTTAGTGTTTTTTAAGAACTCAGAGTTGTATGAATTTGAATCGAGAGGGTGGTTAAAATATGCTTCTTTAGTTTAGAGAGAATAGTGAGGTATAGAGAATCTTTTATTAAAGGATTAAGATAGTTTTGTTATCAGTTGTGAAATTTCTAAGTTAGCTATTCTTGATGTTTGGAACAGTTTTCTCAAAAAATAAGATATAATTAATGTTCTTTAATATCGAATCGGATGAAAATAATTTTAGTTAGTTTAAATGTTTAAAAAAATACTAGATTTATGTCTATGAAATATTTGCAGTTGTTTCTTTATAGAAATAGTCAAATTTGAAATTAACTTAATTAAATTATAATCGCGAGGTTAAAATAAAATGATAACATTCTGGCATTTGGTTTTTTAAAAAATAATTATTCCTACATTTTAAAATTTAAATGATTTCCACTTCAGGGAATTTATGAAAAAATTATTTAATAAATGAATATAAATAATTATAAAAAGTGAATTATGAAGTTAATGTATATATTTAGTTTAACAGAAATTTAAATGTTTGATATACGTTTAATTAAATTCATTGAAAATGCAAAAATATTATATTTAAAAAATTCGAATAAACTTTATTTAATTTAATCCTCTCTTAAAATATTTATATTTTCTTATTAATTTCAATTAATAAATAATTTCAATAAATAAAATAATTTCAATCAATAAACGTTAACAATTACTTTGGATAAATAATGTAAAATCATATTTTTTTAGATCACAAAAATTTAGATTTAAAAGAGTATCAATTTATTTTATTACATCACCTATTTTTTTCACGTAAATTACCTCATTTTAAAAGTTATTTAATCTTTTACAAAAAGTTAAGTTTTTACACTTCGCCGCCTTGGTTAGAGATAGATCTCCATCTAATTACAAAGATTCTTAATGCTAAAAAGTTAAGTCATTTTTCAATTAAAAAACTGAAGAGGTAATTTCAGTTTTATGTTTTTAAACCCCTGTGATATATTTGCATCTTCTATGTTTTTACGTCTTGAATGTAAAATTTAACGAATTGCAGGTATTCTTTTGCACAGTAACGAGATGCTTTACAATTAGGAAGCAATCTGGCCTTGGTAATTCGATTTCTTTTCCCACTTGGGAACCAACTAACGTAATTATTTCGTCCCTGAGTTTCTTTGTCATTGAAAAAAGGAGAAAATAGGTGGTGTGTATTCAATGTTTATATGCAAAAAGTTTATAACTTGTTAAAAATTTTTAATTAATTATATAAGAATTTAATGTATGAAAATAAAAAAAAAAATTTAGATTGTAGTTTAAGGATGTTTGTTTTCAAACGTATAAATGTAATTTAATGGTATTATAGATAATGTAGGTTATACTTTAAATTGAAAATGGGATTTTGTAATAATTAAGTTAAAAGTAACTGAGAAGCTTTTTTTTGAAATATAAAATGCATTTACTTTATATAGAGAAAAATTTTATTTAAAATAATTGTTTAAACATGATGAGGAAACATGTTATATTTTATAAAGGGTAAAACTAGTTTATGTAGTGAAAAATAAGTTTTGTGTGTTATCGTGTGTCTCGAAGCACTGGTGTTTCGCTTTATCTTTCGCTTTTTCACCTAATGTCATTCTACCTCAGGCAACAGATATATTTATCATGGTTTGTCAGACTTTGTTGCCCCATTTTTTTCGCATTCTGAAACATGAACCAATGTCAAAAATTATTTCTAAAAACTGAGTTTTCTCCATCTGTCTTCTGTTCCTAAGTTTCGTTAATTCTCTTCTTCTTCCTAGTTAATTTTTTTGTATTTTTCTCAATTATTTTGTTCCTAAAAGAAACGCTAAAATAAAGGACGCTATTTTTGTTAGTAGATTTCGTTTGTATTTTATTTAAAAAATATTTTTTTGTTGAAATAAAATAAAGTTGATTTCGTATTTGAAGCAAATTCAACTTAAATAATTAAAAATTATTTGATATATAACTACATTTATTTAAAAATACTGAAAAGAGCGTTTATATTTAAATTAAATTTATTAAATAATAACTTTTCTCGCATTTGTAGAAAGCCTCGGGCTATATAATTTATATACTAATAAATAAAAATATTACACTTCGCTTGATTTGATTTTAAAAGTAATTTTTAATTAAATTTATAGCAAAATATCGATTTAGGATGTATGGAAAAATATTTTTAAAAATATTGGAAATATTTATTAATATATTTATTTATACACCGTGAAAATAATTAATATGTAAGGATATTTTGATAATATTATATGAGCGGGCTGGCAAAATAATTAATGTTTGTTAAAATATTTAATAACATGTGAAAATATTTAATACTCTGTGATGACTTGGGAAAATATTTAATAATGTCATATGAAAATGATTGTTGAAAGGAGGTGATTGAAGAGAATTGATATTATGTGGAGAATTTATTATCTAAATATAGAAGCATGTGACAAACCTCATAGATTGGCAATTTTGAAGCTGCCTTCACAATTGAAGGCAACCGTCAGTGTTCCGCAAATACCGCTAAATTGGAGTCAGTATCGATAAACCGAAATTAGCAGAGCTACATAAACGAACACGTGCGTGGCGACAAACAATTTCCATGATCATTTAGTTTTATAGCCCAAATATAATTACATACATGTAAACTTGTTGGTTGTTGAAATTTCATTGCTTGGTAATTAACAATTTACCTGATACATGAAAATTTATTTATTTTTTTTTGATAAATTTCGAATTGAATTTGACCTTAAAATAAGATCAATCTTAATTTAATTTGCAATTTGTAATATTTTTGTATATAAATTGAAATGATTTTTTATTTTTGAATTCATCGAAAATTCTTTATTTTCTTCAAAATATTTCAAATGTGATTAAAAGTATTTGCGAAATATTTCTCACTGATTGGAGTCAATCTTGGATATCAGAATAATTCATAAGCATTCCACAATATAATTATAGCTTAGGAACATTATTGAAATGTTCCTGATAGTTATTCGAAAATTTCATTACAATATTCCTTAAATGTACAAATAGAATTTCTTGTGTCGAAAGTTTATTTTGACAATTTTAATTATTAGGGTATGGCAAAATAACTAAAATTTTTAGAAACTTATACAATTAGCATGATTGGGACAGAGCCTGGAAATAATGGAAAAGTATGAATTGTGAATTAAATTAATTTTAATGACTCAGATAATTATTGGAATTGTTCTAGCAATAATTTAGGACCAGTATATAATTTTTGTTCTAACAATTGTTAGTAAGCAGAAGATAAAGTTCGCTAAAAAAAAAAATTTTTCATCTTCTGCTGATTATCGGCTGTGGTTACTTTTTATCAATTGTGAATTAAATTAATTTTGAAAACTCAGATAATTATTGGAATTGTTCTAGTAATAAATTAGGACCAGTAAAAATTTTTTTGAATAACAATTATTAAGTTAGCTCAAAAAATAATTTTTCATCTTCTGCTGATTATCGGCTGTGGTTACTTTTTATTAATTTTGAATTGAATTAATTTTTATGACTTAGATAATAATTGGAATTGTTCTGGCAATAGTTTAGGACCAGTAAAAAAGTTTTTGACTAACAATTGTTAGTAAACAGAAGATGAAGTTTTCTCAAAAAATAATTTTTCAGCTTCTGCTGATTATCGGCTGTGGTTACTTTTATGAATATTGTGAATTACATTAATTTTGATGACTCAGATAATTATTGGAATTGTTCTAGCAATAGTTTGAGACCAGTAAAAAATTCGTATACTAACAATTGTTTGTAAACAGAAGATAAAGTTCGCTCAAAAAATGATTTTTCATCTTCTGCTGATTATCGGCTGTGGTTACTTTATATCAATTGTGAATTAAATTAATTTTGATGACTCAGATAATTATTGGAATTGTTCTAGCAATAGTTTAAGACCAGTAAAAAATTTGTGTACTAACAATTGTTAGTAAACAGAAGATAAAGTTCGCTTAAAAAATAATTTTCCATCTTCTGCTGATTATCGGTTGTGGATAATTTCATTAATTGTGAATTAAATTTATTTCGATGACCCAGATATTAATTTTTGGTTTGGTATTATTCTTATTAAGTTTTTGGTATTTGAAAGTTCAAAAAAAATTTTATAGCTGAAGATGTGTTATTGGGCCAGAAATTTTTTTAATTTTTGACTGTAATTTCATAAGTATTGACCTAGAAAATCCTGGAAAAAGCCTGGAATTTTATATTTATCATTTTGTGGCAACCATGATTAGTTAAATTTGACTACTTTTCTATTTATTTATTTCCTAACAATTAGTTATGTTTTTACTAGTAATTATTTACTTTTTGCCAATTGATAAAGCAAAAAATCAGTCAAGATTTTACAAACAATTAGTTATTTTCAACCAATTATATTTATAATTTTTCTTCGAAACATAAAAACTAAAAAAAAAATTAACTTTATTTAAAATTAAATATATTATAATTAAAAGTTTTAATTAAAATTTTATTTTTTGCGGACATTTATATTTGTTATTTATTTTGAATATGACGTTGTTTTAAAATATTGAGGGCTCTTGAAGTCTACCCAAAGAGATTACTGACGATATAAATGACCCGTAAAACTTTTGCTTTAAAGATTACTGACAATCCTCGGGGGATTTGAATTCCATGATTTGAGTTTTAAGCATTCAA